ATGGTAATTTTCTTATTAACGATCAACAAGATGAGTGATCCTCCATCAAACACTATTCTGCGCTCTATTTACATATCTTTAATGGGCATGTAATCTCACTATGTTAAGATACTGCGTCGATCAAGCGTAACCAGAATATCCTCTGATTTTCCCCCTCTCCTAAGTTGTGACATTTGAACACCTAAATTCGTGTCAGGGTTTATTAACTTTCAATCAAGATTAATAAAGAAAATGCTTAAAAATCACCTTTGAAGTGAATTATAAGGTAAAGAAGACCTTTAATGCCTCCTGAAGGGAAGTAAAGAAACGAAGTAAATTACTCAAGGTACAATTCATATAAATAAACACATGGTGGCAAAATCAAAATTTGTTTTTCAAACATTTCCTAGAAATTAATATTATTTTTGTTCCTTTATGTCTTTAATTTTAACTGTAATAATGAAACTATCTTTGAACGATAATTATCTCTTTTACTTCTGCAGTTGTTCCGTTTCTATCAAATTACAAATTCCAATTCGAAGATTCCAATATCGATTGATAGTATTGATTATTATATATATATATATATATTGATAAAAATAGAAAAATCGAATTAGATAAGACCTTACGTACGAAATCAACTTTGTTCTTGCTTCAGATTAAACCTCAAGGTTCCTTAAAGCTGCAATAAACATAGTAAAATTGAACAATTAAAACAGAAACATTAACAAGTATGAAACTGTTAAATTTTTCATCTCCAGAAGAAAATTTGATTTGATATTTACAAAGTCAATTGTAGAAATGCATTTTCTTTAGTTATTGTAACTTGTATTTATGATGATAATAATAATTTTTAATTAAATTTACAGGATGTCGGAAATTCCGGATTACACTCGCAATGTGTCACTCAGACTGTCTAAAGTACTTGATGAAATAGGAGTGAACGAAAGAATGGTGATAAAAACAAGGCGACTAGAGCTAATGAATGAATCAATGCATACGATAGGACACCGATTCATACATGAAGATGTAAATGTGTATTTCTTAGGTAGTAGAGTAGAAGGCACTACAACCCTTGGACTTCGCTCTGACCTGGATATTCTTTTAAAACATCCCAGGTACAAAGTTATACAAGACTGGAGTGAATGGGAACCTGGTAACAGAAAACTGTTAATGATACAGGACGATACTGTATCACCAGGATATTGCTTATTACAGATACTGAGACAGGATGCTCCACTTCCAGAAGATAATGTGTACCATCAGTACATGTATAGAGATAGAATAGGAAGAGTACTATTAAAGAATACAATAGTAAATTACCGGGCTGGTGCTGAATTTGTAAGACATGGTCCAGCACAATCATTGGATGAAAAACCTGGTTTCTTTAGTTCTGACATTGTCTTTGCCATTACTTGTCAAAAGTGGCCATTGCAAGCTAGACAATGGATTATTCAGCAAGGTGAAGGTCAGTGGCCTACATATGATATGAAACAATATTCTAAAGATACGGAGTGTTTCGTTGTAGGAGTTGGAGGCAAAGACAGTGAAAATGAAGAACTTGAATGGAGAATATCCACTTCCCTTGCCGAGCGATATTTAATGTTTAATCTGAATATAACACAAATCAGATGCTATGTTCTAATGAAAATGATTTCAAAATCATTTATAAATACACAATGCCCTGATAGCATTTCAAGTTTTATGTGTAAAACGGTCATGTTTCATTGTATTTCAAGTACAGACAATAACGCTTGGAACGAAAACACCTTGCTCATCTGTCTGAATTATTGTCTGACAATTCTTTACAATTGTATTTTAAATGATAACTGTCCACATTTTATCATCCCGGAGAACAATTTAATGGCTAGACGTTTTACTCCAGTGACAAAACAAGTCATACTTGATACACTCTCTTACATTATAAGCAGTAATGGAAGTGCATTACTTGAAATAGAATGTGATCATCTTGGTTTCAGAATTCAAAACACTTTTTTGAGGTTAGTAGATATTGTTCCAGAAGATATATCTTGTGAGATTTCAGGTTATCTCGTCAGAAATATTGGTATTTTCGTCAGTACCATGCATATTTTTTTCCTCAACGATACGAATAAAATCAACCACATAAGAGTTCTATTGCAGACATTATATAAATACCTGATGAAATTAACTGATTATATGAATCAAGGGCAAAATAAATTAGCATGTTGTGCATTGGCTAAATTTCTAAGCATGCATTTAGGTTCCGCTCTAGCTTCAATTAACGTACATAGTCAAGTTGGTTTATGCCGAGAATCTATCGTTTTGATGTCGTTATGTCTGAACGTTGACCTTATATCGAGTAAACTGAAACTAGCATCAATTTTCTATTGTACAGGAGAAATTGAGAGGGTGGAACTTATTTTGAAAAATATTGAAGAAAGTTATGATCTCGATGTAGTTGAACCAATATGCCATTGCTACGATTTTGAACATAAAAAATGTAAAAGGGCATTTGATAAATTATGTTATGAAGCAGATGATGAATATACATTGCTGCAGAGTATAACTGCATATTGTGTCAAGTTTCTACAATGTGAAATGAACTGTTGTCCCCAAGAACTCCAACATGAAATGTTCAGATCATCACAACAAGACCTCCCTTATAGAGGTGAATATGATGAATGGATGGATATAGCTGTGATTGATTCTCTACCCTATTTATACTTTCTACAGTATAAGACGTATTCTCATCTTAGAAGACATCCGGATAAACATGCGGCAATTTCCAATCTTGTTAAATGCATTGTAGAGGAGCCAAATTTCGGACATAAAGAAACAGCACTAAACCTTCTAGGTCAGTGTATGGAGCAGGAAAAAAGAATGGATGCTGCTTTTAAGTGCTACCTGCTTTCTCTGAACATACGAGGCAGAAATAACGCTGCAAAGTTTCATATCTGTAGACTTGTAAGCTCAATTATGAGTCAAGGCTTCCATTAAAATAAATGTGGAAATATTTACTCTTCGTAACTTCGAACTGAAAATAGGAATACATGTGATCCCTTTATAGAAATGCCTAGTTTGTCATACAATTTGAAAATGGAACAGCAACAAATGTCACAGTTTTTTTTATCTTTGATAAAAATATGTGACTTCTAGACGGTGTGTATGGTTATTTGGATGCATTGAACCAGAAGTTAGATTGTCAGACTTGTGAGGAGACTTAATATTTTGAAAGCATTATGTAAAATTTTCTCTGACGTAAATTTTAACAAAATAGAATTTACTAGCTAATGATAATATGATAAAACTGGTATATAAAGTCATGTCTTAAAGTTTCATGAAAAGAATTATGTATCAGAGACTTTCAATGACCAATCTTAAAATATTAAGCAAACATGCAACTGTTTGATTGTCTTAAGTTTTATCGAACGTGTCAACGTGCCATGCAAAATTGTATATTTAAATAAATTAGTTTGAAGTTATGGGTTTTCAATTAGATCTTCTATTTTGGGAACAAATGTGTATGATCAATGAAAGATTTCATCATTTAATTGTTCAAAAATGTTTTTATTCTTGTAAAGATTCTATGTTCAGTTAAAATTTTCCATTTATTTAGGAGTTAGCCATTTATGGAAAATATTTCCCAATTGTACGATGATATAAATATAATAGGAATTCAAATATTTCTGAATGTATAAAATAATATTGGTCCAATTCTTTTGCCGCAATTTGTAATAAATAAACATTGTATATTTGTGCAAAGATATTGTGAAAAGAAAGAAGAGATGAAATATGAAATTCATATCTTATTTTATATATAAGTACAAAAGTCATGTCAATATTTGTAGTTTATAAATCATATGTCATAAGGACAGTCTTAAGTAAACTGAAAAAAGATATTCGTGTATGAATTCCATAGTCTTATGTTTTAATTCTTCATAGGGACTTACCGAGTTACATAGTGAAAACACAACATAAGAATTATCTATACGTATTTTCAAGCAAAATACGACTTATTTCCATTCTCTGTTATCTATATATCTGATACAATACTAGTATTGCTATATTTATACCTAAACTTAAAAAATGTACTTGTGCCTTCTTATAATATAAAATTAAAAAAAGGTTCGCTTATATATGGAATTTCTTAAATTATTAGTTGACATGTTTTTAGTTAAAAATCTTTTCGTCTTTCAACTGAATAAATTATATATATTATTTCCAAATATTACTTCCTATTTCAGAATGACACAAAAACGAATAAAATATTGAATGGTTTATGAAAAGGTATCCGTAACTGTTTTGATGATTTTTATATTATGCACCTATGGATCTCTACAGCACATATGGAGCCGAGATGTAATTTGATAGCCAATTTGGTTGTTTGAAGCAAAATCTTAATGAATGTTTCAAAAGGAGTTTGTTTGATTTTTTAAGCATGAATTTTTTTGACACGTCAGAACTCATTTGGTTTCACATATTGTCTGGGGGTTAAAGTGCACATTTGGATCAGCTTAAATTCGTGTATATTTTTACCGATGCTCAATTTAGAGACCCACGTGTAATAACCCGTGCATGAATTTATTTTTTGACAAAGAAGGTAAACTGAAGTATATTTACTTTAATACATATATTCAGAACCATTTTATATTCAATTTTATCAGTGTTAAAAAACAACAACAACTAATGTAATGTAATGTAATGTAATGTAATGTAATGAACAGTAATGTTTTCATCACTGAACACTATTGAGATCGACATAAGATTCCAATACAATTGTACTATAATATTCAGGCGTGATAACTCACAAAATGTCGTTTGGTAGAAATATATATATACAACAATATTTCAACATTTGTATTATTACAATTTATAAAATTAACGAATATTCAAAGTGTTTTATTTTCAAATCAGAAATTACGGTGCCATTTTCCATTTATCATTACGACTTTAGGTTCAAGAGTTTTAAATGAGTTTAGATTGTCTGAGATATTTTAGGGAAAAGTATACAAGTATAAGGACAAAACGCTCAATCAAAATAAGTTCATATATTTAATAATTTGACCAGCAAAATAAATGGAAAAATAGATGAGCACAATAGTTTCTTTCACCCTACAATACTTGTGATAGTTTTGTGGTTAAATTTCAAAACCAAAGGCTCAGTTTTTAAAGTCATTTCCAGTAAATTGCCGCTTTGCTGATAATCTGTCGTCTTGGATAATCGATCATTTAAACTTCCGGTGATTCTCCATGCAAATGATACTTGTGTTTCCGCCGGAAGTTGTAATGTGGTCTGTCTTGAATTTTGATTGCTAATATCAACTGGAAGCCAACCAATTACGTGAGATGCATGTTTGAGCAAGTCAGAGACGCTTGCATTTTCCAAACATGCATGTGGCTTGTCACTTAAAGCATAAACAAAACCGTTGTCATTTTCTTGGATAATACCAAGAAAGTAAGTGTTACCAACGTACTGTAAGAATTTTTGAAATGTGTAAAATACTGCTTTCTTCTGAAAATTATTCTTGTTAGACGAAGTGAGTCCACTGCGGCAGAATAAAGTATCACAGTCGGTGTTGGCGTAGAAGTACCACGTGGCTCTTTCAATAGTTGACCTTGCCAGCAATAAAAGACCTCGTACAGCGTACACAGCTTGTGCACGCTCACTTACACATTCTGTTCCTCTACACTGTTCTCCCACACCATCAGAATCCCATCCCCATTCTGTAACCCATACGGGTTTCTTCGGTGTGTTTGTGTCCCGCCATCTTGTTATTGGTCGGATGTTATTAAATGTGGACAGTTTATTTTCTGGATACGTTCCTTTTCGTATACCTGCGTCATCGTTGATAAAACTGTAAGTATGACAGTTAATAACATCAATGTTGTCCGCTACTTCCGGAAGAACCCGGGTACCAATGTAAGTATTTTCGTGGTCTTTATCCTCGGCCTGGAAAGTACCAGGAATAACAATCAATTTGTTATCCATGCTTTTAAGACCGCTTGCCATTCCTTTTAAGACCGAGGCATAAAATGCAGCGTTATAGTCCCATGGTTCGTTGCCGACCTCGACTGCTTGAACAAGACCATTGCCCTGAACACTGAACAGAACCAAAATGTTTTGCTACCTGTTGCCCGTAGTGAAAAGCAGACTGCTCAGGTGTGTTCCATTTACTCTCCGGTACTGTTTTATTTGTGAATTGTATGGAAATATCTACGGTTAAATTTGCTGCATTCCATGCACGGTATTCTGTATCCCAGTTCAACCACCACATTGCTTGTGTTCCATGCCCGGCTGCCATTGCATCGTATTCAGGGTCAAGATCGGGATCAGTCACGTCCCAGACGAGATTATGATAATTACGCGCGTGACTTGCAACTTCACTATATAACAAAGGTCCTTCGTTAGGTCCTAATTTGTCACTGTAACTTTTTGTTCCCCAGCCCCAGATCCCGTTCACCTCGAGGATTTCTCGAAATGTGTTAACCTGTGGTTTAGCGGATATTTCAGGTCCCCATATGCCGTTTTCGTCCCAAGCATCCACTTCAAAACAATAAACCTTTTTATGATTAACCATATGGACTTTGTATTCTAAAGTAATGTAACGAATACCAGCTGGCTGAATACGTGTAGTGACGGCGTGTACAGCGTTTGGGTCTAAATCAGCAACCATATTCCATATATGTCCGTTTGATGATGTTTTAAGTACAAGTTTTGTTGCCGCATTACTTCCGGCCCAGTGGCGTGTTCGAATCGTACCGACGCTGCGTTCATGACCAAGATCAACTGTTATATGCTCTGTGCACCCATTTTCTCCAATTGCACCCATGTCCTTTACAGTGAAACCTGAATCTGAAACGAGCTCTAGTTTTTTAACTGTGAAGTTCGTTCCAGTAATATTAATATTCTTATAATTACCAGTGGATGTAAAAGTTTTCAGTAAATGTTTTTGAGAGCCAAATTTTGTTACTCCATACATGCACATATATAGATGTGTAGGACTTGTGTCACAGGGTCATTTTGTCTTTGCTAGAATACTCTGTAATTCATACCCATACTCTATATCATTCCCATGATTCCCCTATCGTCTCTTTTTCAATCATTCATATCATTATTCAACTTCATACTTATAACTTCATTTGACCTGTAACACGTTGACGGGCCTCATTCACTTCATTTTTGAATTCGGTCACGCTAACCTTTACGCATGCGCACAAGAAATGAGAACTTTTAGCGAGAGCTGTTGTTTTTTTCATTGACTCCGTATTCTATTTTATTGTGTGCCAACAATATATTTACAGGTATATTTGAGGTTATAAAACATTGTAAACATGAATTACTATGATATGTGTATGTATTTCGCTTGGAATTATCAATAGCACAAGAAATGAGAACTTTTAGCGAGAGCTGTTGTTTTTTTCATTGACTCCGTATTCTATTTTATTGTGTGCCAACAATATATTTACAGGTTCCTCTTTGAACGCCCTATCCTCCCGAGTGAGAACTCACGTATATCCGTGACATTTGGTGGCCAGTGTTACATTTGGGACGTTTTGGTGCGAAACAGTTGAGGACGAACTCAGTTCGGGTGGATTTTCTCCCCGCTTGTATCAGCCAATGAGAATTGGGAAACCCTGCTTACGTCACATAGTGAATGTCAACAAGGAAATCCGTCCATCATGTTGTATCGAAAATTTTATATTTTGTTTTAACAATCAAATGAAAGCTTTCTAAAGTAAATATAGGCCTCTTTAATTAATATACAGTACTCTACATTGAAACACTAGTGCATAAACTCAACAGACCAGGATTTCTTTATTTTTCAACGTTGGATTCTACCTCTGGACATTTTGTTTACATTTTTATTGGAAGGAGATTACAGTGATAAACATTGACTTGAATGACATTAATTAGTGATTTAACCTTTAGATATATTGATTTATATAACATTTCTTAAAATCCTTTGTAGTTACCATCTAAGAATTGTTCATTGTATATTTTTCTTCACTGTCATAGATTTCTACAGTTATTGTTTATATTTGACAGGTTGTTTGGCATTGAAGTTGTGTGTATTGTGTGGAAGTCAACCTTGGCACTGAGCACTACATTAACAGAATAACAGATTTCATTGCATTAATACATTTTCATTTTGGTAACTGGTGATTGGTGAGATAACCATTTCATATCTTTCTTCTGGTCCCTGATACTACATGTATACTTTAGAAGCCATTTCTTTCCATTTTACCATCTGTATTGTCTTATTCTTACTATACTCCTGTAAGACATCCCCACTTTAACAGTCCACTTTATTGAAAAGCTTGTGACATACTTTTGTACTATTACCTGATTTAAAAAAAAAAAAAAAAAAAAAAAAAAAAAAAGAATTTCATCTTTGGAAGAAATTTAATTTTGGAAGCTTTATTAATTAATTAATCTTTTGGCGGCTCACATACACTTCATAAAATTTATGTGTCTTTGGAAAATGTTTTGTATTAGGTGCCTGAGTATGAAAAAGTCAGTAATGTAGTCTTGTAGTGTAATGATAGTTTAGTTCAACTTGTTGGTACTTCTGTCATAACAGTGAAAGCCTAATAAATATCAAAATACAAGAAATACTATAAAATAATTGACATTTTATCACAGGGATTAGATACTCCTTTGATAAAATCTCTTATATTATTTAAATATTCTAGTCCGTGTATAAAATTGTTCCATTTATTTAAAATTGAACTGTTTTTGAAATAAAAACAAAACATTTTACAATTGCGGTGTACTTGCAGTGACAATTGTATTTTGTTTAGACTTTTCTCGGGTTTTTGAATGCAGTTTTCCGGAGAAGATTGGAAATTGAAGTAATTTTCCGCAACTAGTTGGACCAGGTATTATAGTGTGGTACAATTGAATCCTTGTTGTTGTGAATTTTACAGTACTGGTTTAGCCAGGAAAGTACATGAAACATTGTGCTCTAGTTTGAATTAAATCAAGTGATTATTGAAGACATTTGGGAATAGCAGTCATATGAAAGTAGTGTGTGCATATATTGTCTTCATTGTTATTTGAATTTCCCTTGTGAATTGTTTGGTAGGTGAAATCCAATCAATTTTATTACAAGTTGGATACAGTACTGGACTTGATATTTATATATTGCATACATTCTCACATTGGAAAACTATAGAAGTTAGTACAGTGTAAAGGAATTACCAGCATTGAATATAGTGCTTGCATTTACAGACATTTAATTGGTGCACATAAAAGCTGCAAATTTGAAAGTTTATTTATGTGATATTTATTTTGTTTGTAAAGAAAAAAAATTATATGGTGTACAATATGGGACATCATTTTTGTGTGTTTTAATTATTCATTTACTGAAGGCCTGAATTGTCTTTGGTAAATAAAATTCATCTGGTGTGTAAATTCTGCTAGATATACATATTACCATTACAAATTTCAATTGCAATATTTGTGTATGGTGTACAATGTATGCCATCTTGTGAACAAAAATTTATTTTTGTGTATTAGTTGAGTTTATCTATTTTCATTTGAAAGTTTTTATTTGGAATAATATTTCAAGTAAGAAGTGCCCTTCATTTTATTTATTTTGATCAGTCTAAGTTGTTGTTGTTGATTTGTTGACACGTTATGTCAGTTATTATCAATATGGATAATGACGATACCACACCTAGAGGAAAAGATAGTCGTGATGAGTTAGATCTGGAATATTGTTAGAGACGTGTTTTGAGTTCTGGTTATACTGTTGATACAGTGCAACCTAGAACTGATAGACGTTCACTCTCCACTGATGCTGATCCTGATACACATACACCTAATAGGGAGTCCCGACATAGACATCGTGATCGTTCTCCTCCTGTGTTATCTCCTCATAGGTTGCATTCTATTCATGAAAGTGCCCCGTCACCCTTTGTTGATAGGCGTCAGAGTCGTGTTTCTTTTCGTCCTGATTTCGATTCCACCCCTCTTGGCTCAAGCTTGCCCAGAAAATCTGATTATTATTCTAGGCCTGAGTTTGAAGAATTATCACAATCCTTTCCCAGATCTGCTTCTCTCCCACAGCATGATTCTTATAGCAGTCCTTACAATTTTCCACCACAGAGACTTCCTAAATTACCTCAGTTTTCAGGGAATTGAAGAAAGAAGATGTGGAATTTGTTGTTTGGAAGTATGAAGTCAACTGTATTCTCAAAAGCGGTATGTATTCTGAACATTCCATTTTGGAATCGATTCGGCGCAGTCTGCGTGGGAAGGCCAGATCAGTTTTGTTACATCTTGGGGAGTGGGCGACTGTGGATGAAATCGTTCGAGAAATGGATGCAACTTATGGTAATGTGGCATCAACAGAGAGGCTGAAAGAGCAATTCTACTCTGCAAGTCAACGGGAGGGTGAATCAATTGTCGACTATAGTCTTCGATTGGAACATCTTCTTGTTGATTCCCAAATCACACTCGATAGAAAGACACGGGATGACATGTTGAGGAACAGATTGTGGTCTGGACTAAGGAACCAGGATTTGAAGAACGCCACAAGGTACAAGTTTGAGGCAGAACTTGATTATACAAGGTTTAGGCGAGAGTTGCGACTTGTTGAAGAGGAGATGAAGTTGGCTCAACAAGGAGTTAAATCATCAGGTACCTTTACCAGGGATAGATCTTCCACTTCTTCTACTTCTTCTTTTCCTTCTAATTCTTCAGACAGGTCCAAAGTGCAGGATGTAAGACAGTGTAACACCTCTGTTGAATCCAAAATTTTACAGGAGTTACAGGATGTTACAGCTCAGTTGAAGACATTGAACAGCAGAGTCACTCGCATTGAAAGAGACCTTGATGATGTCAAGAAGAATAGGTATAGGTCAGATGGGAACCGATGGCGAGGTAGAGGTACTGACATCCGAAGTCAAGAGACAGAGCCGCAACCACCATCAAGTTCTAACTCTGCTACCCCATCCAAGACAGATAAGCCTTTAAACCAGCAGGCTCCTCCACCAAAGGGCCAGTAGGAGGACCGCCCAGTCAGAGAGGCCCACCAA